TCGACAATCAGTCTGCTCTGTCTGTGGCGAAGAACCCAGAGCACCATGGGAGGATGAAGCACCTGGACTTGCGGTTCTACTGGTTGAGGGATGAGGTTGCGAGCGGCAAGATTGGGCTGGCGCATCTTAGGACAGATGTGATGCCAGCGGATGGGTTGACCAAGGCCTTGGTGAAGGCAAAGGTCGAGAACATGGTTAGGTTGCTGGGGCTGATGTAGCGCAGATGTGGCACGTCAGGGGGGAGTATTGCAGGTAAAAAGTGCGCTGACTGGGGATTGAACCAAAACCTCCAGGTATGCATCCCTGCTAGTGGTGGTAACCACTTCGCTATTTTGCCTTCCTTTACCCTGGTGACTTAGCCCCTTTAACCCTGCGCTTTTCCCTTGCATTTCCCATACTGTACAGTTGGTTCCCACGCTCCCAGAAGAGCGAAAATGCGCTCCTGAGTCAAGCTCTCTTCTTTAGCATTAATAGAGCTTGACTCAGGTATGTCCCTCTGTATATTTCTGTACTTCTTTAGCATTAATAGAGCTTGACTCAGGCATCTCTGTGTGTATCTGGACGCCTGCCAGCTTCCCAGTTGGACACCTCTCTGCTCTGTCCGTTGCGAAGAAGCCAGAGCACCATGGGCGTATGAAGCACTTGGATTTGCGCTTTTATTGGCTTAGGGATGAAGTCGCCAAAGGCAAACTCAAGATGGTCCACCTGAGGACTTCAGACATGCCTGCGGATATCCTGACTAAATCCCTGCCTAGGCCGAAGGTCTTAGAAATGGTGAAGATGCTTGGATTGGGAAAGTGACCAGTCAGGGGGGAGTGTTGAGATCTGATGACTTGGTCACCTCTTTGTTGACTGAGTGGCTCATGGAATGGCCTAGGCCCTTCTGGCCGAGTTACCTTGTTCTGAGCCACTCCCTTTGTTGTGAGCCACTCCCTTTGTATTCCTTGTATTCCTTGTTATCCTGGTTCTTCTTTGTATTTCAATGTCCCCTTGTTCTGTCCTTGTTCTTTGATGCCCTTGTATTCTACAGTATATAAGGGCTCCCTAGGTCGCTCTGTGTCCCCCAGTCTTGACACAGTTTGACCTAGGTGAGTCTGCCACTTGTATTTCTTATGCCAGAATACAGTCTTGACACAGTTTGACCTAGCCCTTGGGTGTTGTCTGAAGCTAGTATCTTCCACTGCCAACACATGTGACTTGATCACTTGACTGAAGTCCAGAATGATTCCAGGTGAAGAACATACAAGAACCCACTGGAACATTCCAGAAGGAGACTTGTCTAGAACAGTCTGGAAGTAGATCCATCTGGAACATTCCAGAATGGGTCTATCTGGACCTGTCTGGAATGGACCTGTCTGGACTTGTCGGGATTAGTCCAGGAGGTTCCATGGACTTGACTGGACTGGCGTGCACTCTGCTGCAATGGTCTGGCTGGTCTTGGACTCTTAGTCATCCCTTAGTAACATTCCTTTACTCATCCCTTTCACATAGTATATAAGTAGGACCTAAGTCAGTCTGTGTCCCCTCAGTCTTGACACAGTTGACTTAGGCCACTGGGCTGTCTGAGGGTTGCTTCCACTGCAATTCCACATCTACAACGTCCCCCGGTTCATACAATGCCTCCTGCCGCTTCCTATCCCAGCACAACATACAATATCCTCAGCAAGCTGACCAGCATCCAGGAGACCCAGCTCAATGAAATACTTCAAGCATTGTTCGCTTTCTCTTACTCGTGGATGTACAACAGACACTGGTTGGAAGGTCACACATACGCCATCTGGGATCAAATCTTTGCAGCATTTGCAGCACTCCATGCTAGGCTTGTCAAAGCTTCTGAGTTTCCCAATTACACCCTTTCTCGTAAAGGGTTCGGATCCAGATCATTCATTCGGGACAGTTGCTGATGGCAATGCCCAGGAAGGGATTCCAGATTACACCCTGTTGTGCATTCAGTACAGACTGTGGTATGGTGCTGATATCCCCAATTATAATGCACTGCTTCGGGGCAGGTTTGACATTAAGCTGGGTAATCTGCCTTGGGCAGAACTGGCTTGCTGGGATGAGCTGCTCATTGAATATGCTGGGATCCCGATTTTTGCAGAGTTGAAGAGACCCCCCTTGTGCACCAGCAATAACTGCAAACACCTTCTCATCGAGCTCGGTAATCTTTTAGACAATGCATCATCCCAACTGGAGAAATATGCCGAGATCCTGTTTGCTGATCCACTCCGGCGGGATCAGGACTCTGTTGTGCTGATCACCATGGCAGGCGAGTGGTATAAATGGCAGGTGATGAACCAGAACTGGTATCCCCAAACCCCAGAATCAACACCCGGACCTGGTCGAGGTCAGTGCCAGCATGGACAATGATGAAGAGGAGGAGGAGGATGAATCTGAGATGGAGGACAAGTTCTTGCCAAACAAAGAGAAGAAGACCACAAGAAGGAAAACGACCCAACCTACCAAGAAGCAGCTGAAAGCCCACGAAAAGGCAGAGCGGGACAAGAAAGCTGATGAGGACCGTGTGAAGCATTGGAGGGCATAACAGGATGCGGGCAGACATGAGCCCACTCCATTGCGTTATCTGGACCAAGGTGCCGATGCTGAAGCCATCCGGCACAACATTTTCAATATTGTGCCACCGACAGGGCTTTGATCGGCTTTACTATTTCTCGGAAGTCCTGCCTCTAACCAGAGGATGTGGTACTTGCGAATCATTTGGCTGACATCGCCGTGTCGCATGCTACTGTTTTTACCTTTACCAAGGGTTAGATCATGCTAGAGCTGTTTCAGCTTTATCTTGTGCACTACACCTGGTGTGTTAAAGTAATTCGACATATCCCCAATATATTCTCCATATGTGTGTCATGTCAAATTCTACATGCGTTAGACATTGTTCTGAGAGGCATCTTGTTGGAATATGGACGGTACGTGACCCAACATTCACTTCCAGCACATACATATGCCTATCCATCTGCAATCAATTTCTTGCATGCTTACCAATTCTATGATGCCGGAGACAAGTGTAAATTCTGACGGAAACTTGCATTTGCATCCTAATATTATACTATCCAGATTGAACCTTTCACTGCAGCATGCCATGCCATAAAATTTGCTTATATAGTAGTCATGCCATCCCCAATTGAGATGTGGCTGTGCCATGCCCATCCAAAAAAGGTTCATGCCATGCCATGCCAGGCCGTGCCGTGCCAGGCCATGCCATCTCATGCCACATTTATCCATACACATATGTTGTGCATGCCATGACATGCACTTCATTGGTTTCCATGAATACAATACCCTGCCGACTTTTCTAATTTGTCTATTTCATGCCATTGTTTTAACACACTGCTGAGCCATAGACTTTCACTAACACCGAAAATACAATACTCCATCATAGGTGATTCAGTTCTAACTACGAAAGCTTTTTGCCACTTTCTGAGAAAGGAGAACCCGCATGCGCTCTTCTATGCATCCAGCCATCGATCCTTATAACCCCCTTACTGTTTCCTTTCTCTCTGCCTTTTGGCTCGATCCAGTATGGCGGAACACACCTCAATGCACGTGAACTCCACAAAGATGCCCCAGTTTGTGAAGCACACGGTCCGGCTAGTGTAAAGTCCTGCAGGTACACGCTTCAAGTTCTCTCTATTATGTCATGCTACCTGTGCTGTGTGTTTATGCTGTGAACACAAATCGGCAGTTTAAGGGAGACACCGTCCTCGTGGAGGCGTGCAATGGCGGGCAGGTAGAGGTGCGGCTGCCAAAAATGAGTACTAGTAGGCGAGGGCTAGACTGTGTGTAGGACTGCTGGCTTATTGTGCAAATTGTGCACTATTGAAGGATGCAACCATGACAGATAAGTATCTGGAAATCATTGGGAAAGTGGTCAATGTGAGCATGCTGCAGATGACATTCTGCGTGCCTATGGAGGATTCAGTTGGTATGTGCACCTATTCTTTAGCTTCTGTTCCAATCCAATCCAAAGCTGCTGCGTGCTCACTCATATTCGTGTAGACACTAGTAATTACCTTTGGTTGTTAACAATATCATGGCAAGACCATGTCAGGCCCTGTATTGGCTTGTCATGGATCCAGGGTACAAATTGTTATGGGGTTGTGGGGGTATTGTAGTGGGTTCAGTCAGGGGGCTGTAGGGGCATTGTAGGGGGGTTTGTAGGTCCATGTGGGTGGATTGTGGGTGGATTGTAGGGGTATTGTGGGGGTATTGTAGCTTTGTAGGGTGACTTGTGGGGGCATTGTAGCATGATTGTAGGTATGTTGTAAAGCATTCTAGGTTTGTAACATGGATTCTGGGGGTATTGTGGACCTGTTGTGCAGGGTTGTTGGGGCATTTTAGCAGGATTGTGGAGGATCCTTGGGGCATTGTAGTGAGATTGTTGAGTGTTGTGGGGGTATTGTATGATGATTGTAGATTTTCTGTGGGGCCATTGTAGGTATGAGTGTGGGATCATTACAAATGATATCTGCATTACTAAGGAGAAGAATTTCAGCACAGCATCAAAGCAGGAGGACTGTGAGAATATTCAGGGCGCAGAATATTCTAGGAGGACCCGAGACATTCCACTGTTTTCCCTTGACATGACTCATTCTATGTCCATATGACTCATTCCATGCCTTTATGACTCACTCCCTTACATATGACTCATGCTATGTGCATATCACTCATGCTATGCAGATATGACTCATTCTATGCCAATATGACTCATGCTATTCCCTTCTGTTTATAGAGATGAGTCATGTTGACTCAGCCTATGCTCAAGGACCAATCACAAGTCCCCAAGCTAGCTGACTCATCCTATTTTCTCAC